CAGAAACAGTCGGTTTTTCACGTTTTTCTGTTTTTACAAGTTTTCTGCTGTACAGTTGACGTCAAAAATCTTTAAAGGTGATATTCTTGATCAGCTCGACGTGCTCTATCCAACCATGTACAATTCGACCAGATTCATTTTATCACTAACCTTTTGAATTTCCGGCACCTTATTTTACTTACTAATTGTCAAATAGCCACTTACTCCAAGTATTAAAAAGGTATTCATTTCAATGCCATATTATGGTAAATATTCACTGATTCTAGCAAATAAGATTAAGAAAATATTAGACAATCCTTCGAAACAAATTGTCTGTGGTTTCGCTACTTGAACATGTATCTCAGCGTTATTTAGTAGAACATTCTGTGGACAAAAGGATATCAGAAAAGGTGATCTATCAATATGATTGTAAAAATTGTAACAGCACCTATATCGGACAAACTGCCTGTGGTGTAGAAATAAGAAAATAAGAACACAAAAAGATATTTTCAAAGACAAGAGTATTCACGGATAACTGAACATTGTATGAATTTGAATCGTGAAAACAATTCGACTAATATTATTTTTGCAGTTGAATCAAGTTATACAAAAAAGAACAATCAAGGAAAGTTTACTCATGGATCTGGTTCGATTAAAAAAAAAGGCAAAGACGTTTATTTACAAAAGGACTTTATTTTGAATATTTTTCAGCAGTGTCCGAGTTCTTTCCGGAATTTTACTTTTCCCACGAGAACTTTTCTCACAATGTGAGAATTTCACCCCTTGACTAAGAGCAAAAAAAAGTTCGCAAATCACAACAAGAAAAACTTCTCTAAATTCTAATTGGAATTTTGCTTCCTTCCACGAGAAAGAGTACCTTGCCTTATCGTAACTTCTTGTGTTAGAGGCCAAAATTCTCGTAGAAAAGTAAGATTCGTGTGAAAAATGTCTCCGGCATGTTCTCAGTTTCTTTGACACAGGTGGAATTCTCCCGTAAGAGACTAAAATTCTCCTGCATTTCGTAGAATTCTGGAATCTTTGAATTTTTTTCAAAAATAATTTTTGCTTATGGAAAGATGCGTACAGATCTTGGCTATCGAATAGTGAAAACCGCAGGTCTCTATCTGTCTTCTATCAAAAGTTACTCGAAAAGCAACCATCTACGTTGTATTTTGGAACGGATAGTAATTAATATTTCTAATATTAAATAATTTTAAGGTTCCCATTTATCAGGTATTTTATATAGTTTCAAGATATTTACAAGCTAAAAGTATTCGACGAGCAAGTGTACCACGAGTACCTGTCTAGCGAGCATCACAGCTTGACGCGACACTTCGCTGATTAAGTATTTTTTTCAAAAGTAAACAAAACCGTTTATCCCGGGCTGGAGAGCATAGTCGAAAGTGTCAGAAAATGTAATTCTTTTTCTTCAAGTGAGTCTTATGAGCAGTCATACGGTGCGCAGTAACTAGAACGAACGATCTTGTTCGTCACATCTTTTGTGTTCTTGTTTTCAAATTGATAGTGCGAGTCACTGTTTTGCTCCGGAAAAAGATAAGAAATGGTATCTAGATTATCGAATACGGCCTTTCTTTTGACACTGGAATGAAGTCTTTTCGTTTCTTCTTCACTGGGATTTAGGCAAAACAATACTTGGTAATTTCGCCTATCACAGCGTTACTAAAAGACATTTTTTTAAAAGTCTTAGTAAATGACATTCACAATTTCATTTTAAAAAGTAGTGGACTATAGCCAACTTTTCACGACGATTCGAATACACTACTTCTTTCTCAAAAACTTGCATCTGGAGGCAGATAGTGGCAACACTGTGACAAAAACACGATTGTTGATGGTTTTTCTAGTTTGTGACTGACTGCTTGTTTCGATAGGACAAACAAGGGCGAACGCTCACACAGACTTTAAATACGCTTTGAACCAACTTTCTTTGCCACTCCAAACGGTAAAGGAGTTGTTGATGGAATCGAAGGTACTGTTAAACGTCTGGTTTGGTCGGCAGTACTGGAGGAGGGGCTTGTCGTTCATCTGACTAGAAAACCTATGGACGTGTCTGACTCCAATTCCGTTCGTTCATACGTCAATCGATGAAGGGTACCAAGATTGCAAAACAGAAAACAAAGAGAATAATCTTATTGAAATTATGAAAAATGGCATTAACACATCTAAACTGGAATTGGAAAATCTCTTTAAAGTAAAGTGTAAAATACTGACAGTGGATTCTAACAGTTGTTAGTCAGGCGGAGAAGAGAAGATTTCTAGAAGAGTAGGTTCGAGGAAGACACAGAACACGATTTTTAGTTGTGAAGATCGAAAAAAATATCATCTTGAGGCCTGAAAAGTCTATTCAATCGGATTCTAACTGATTTGCAGTGAGAATACGCACGAGGAAAAAAATTATATCACAGCGTTACTTTAGTAAATTGGGTTTTACAAAATAAATTCTGAAAAAAATTCTTTTTAGCAAAAGAAACCTCGTTAGCTCCTTTATAAACTTTGCTGAAGACACTTTTTATTAGTTCTCCTAAATTCGCAGGAATTTCCGCTTTAATGAGGAGTATGTAGAATTTTTTTTTACCGGTTTAAAAGGATTTTCTGGAAGTTCGAGTGTTTAACCCAAAATCTTTGTTTTAATATTCCGAGTAAGAAGAGCCACATCGAACGGCGCAAAAACGAGCTTTCTAACTGTTATAATTTACGAGAAAACCTCAAATTACTATGTCAAAAATATCACAGCGTTACCTCTAGACAAGCCGACAGTGCTAGCGAGCATCAGTCCATACGAGCAACTGTCTGCGAGCATCTGTCCGGCAGCAAATGTCCTCGCGAGCAACTATCCATTTCCCCCCCCCCCATTTTTCCGCAAAGCCAGACAGAAGTTACACCATACGATTCAGCTTGTCAAGTTCTATCAATTGACGTACATCGTGACTTTTTTCTCTCCTTTTTAAAATTGTTCTGGAGCAATTAAACTTTAACTGCGACTACCTATCCAAAAAACTTTCTTCCTAAAAGACTTTTTGTTTCATCAGCTATGTAAGTAAGTCGTGAGAAATATAATGTTTTTATAAGACGATGGACATAGCGCTATCGAACACATACTCTCAATTTTTCCTGCGTCTTGGTAGATGAGGGTTGCAGACTTATCAGGGGCGAAAATCTCAATTTAAGTGTTTGCACTTGAATGCAATGGTGTGTAAGCACACACTACGTGACTGAGGCAAGTGCATAGTAGCTACGGAGAGCACATAAAGTATGTGCAGCAAAAGCAGATATTCCACAGATATCAAAAACCATCTACTAAACCATTTTTGCTGGTAGGTGATAAAGCCTTAAGAAAGATTTAGTAGACGGTTTTTGATGACTACGACAACGTTTTTGCAGCATTTTACGAATCATGATGAGTATCTTATTGGGACGCTTTTCTAAACCCCCTTTCCGGTGTACACGACGCTTTGTTTTTTAGAGTGCACTGGATTGATTCTCGATGCCTCTTCACGAGTATATGTTTCGGACTAGTAATTTCTAAACATGTCATGCGTCACTCCGAAGCCATTCATCCAATATCAGCTTTAGAAAATATGAACAGTGATCATTAACGCTATATCATATACACAGTTCATTCGTGTTCTTGTTCAATACCAATTCAAGATGACGTTATGATCAAACGCCTTTTAGTCTCATATTAAATTATTTAGTTCTTTTTATAGCTATTTTCGATCATTTAAACTTTAACTGAGGTTACTTATCGTAAACACTTCCTTGTTCAAAATTTGTTTCGTCAGCTGTGTAAGTAAGTGTCGGGAAAATAATGTTTCTGCGGATGATCGACATAGCTCTTTCCCTTCACAACTTCATTTTTTCAAATTTTATTTTTTGAACGATACAACGACTATCCAAATCACTCATACATACAAATAGTAGAGATAACTTTTTCTTATTTATATTCTCTGAAAAATATTAGTTAGAATTGACTCAGCGGTTTGTTGTTACTAGTGGATGAATTGAAGTATTATTCTTAAATGATAATTGTAAACAATGTAATGCTCCATTTAATTCTTTTTTTAATTCGCTCCGAAATTCTTGTCCGGTTAATGTATAAATAATAAAACCAATGGAATGATAGGTATAGAGAATACAATCTAATAAATTTAATACATTTGACGATAATACATCGCCGAATACAGAAAATCCTAATGATGATGGTAATAACATAATAATATAACAAAATGTTGTTGTTAATAAGGTTAATGTCATATTGAATTTGCGTCGACGATTATTATTAAAACTTGTGAAATAAACTTGCCTTATAATTAAACAATTACATAATAGAATAAAACAAAACGGCACACAAACATAAATGATGAGATGAAAATATTCCCATACAGGCCAGAGAATATACCTGCTGTATCGGCTTGCATAACACACAACAGTGACAACCTGTGTACCATTCGTTACTGTTATATCTGCATAACCGTTAAAGATTAAATGATGACAATTAATCAGTATAAAACACGAAATTGTAGTTAATATTAAATTTCGTACCATTTTTGGATTAAATGATATTCTTTGCCTGTAACAAGCAAATTTTATATTAAGAAAGCGATCTAAGCTCATTAGAACTAATAGCCAACTACTTATTTCTAATGTTGAATAGGCCATAAACATTGATATACGACAGCTGGCGACGGATAAGTTATTGTAAGTAAATCCAAAATAGACTTTATAAAATCGCTGTAAATTCCACCAATATAATGATAAGGTATCAATAATAGCAAGAGCAATTAAAAATTTACATGTTGAATATTTTCTTAATATTTTAGTTTTTAGAAATATGAATAATGATAATAGATTACCAATTGTACCAAATATTGTTAATAACAGTGAATACACACCAATAAACTGATTTATTACGGGAATCGTCGACATCACGTGATCGTTCTTGTCTCGTACCACAGGTAAAAGCCACCACAAATGAAAGTCACAAAAAGAAACAAAACTGTTTTTCTGAAGAGAACGTGATGTTTTTAACAATCTTATAAGTTCCTGATTCAGGAAAGAGTATCATTAGATGTAATTACTGGAGAAAATCGCATGTGAATATGAATTGGGGTCACTTCGGAAAATTGTGGTCAGCATTTCAAAGTATTGTAGTATCTCGAACATACCTAAGTCGCATTTTCCCTAACGAAAAGCGATTTCAAATACGCAAATAGATCCAAAGTCTTCAAATGTTAATCAAGTGAACGTGGATAGCTGAATAGGTTATAAGATGAACGTCTTTGAAACAGATATCTCATGTTGTGAATGGTGCTTTTACGTCTATTATCGCCCGATTCATCTTGATTACTAGACTTTTACTCGATTGTAACTATTTAGTAAAGACAGTGGAAATCCAGTTATCGGTTGATTGCTAGATTTCTCCTCAATGCAACTATCGATTTATCGTCCGATAATCAATCAATTTAACTATTTCTAGTTGTACATGCAGACGTATCTACCTAAAAGTCCTTTTTCTAACTAGTAATCTAGATGACAACTACTCATGCAGCGCCCGATTACAGATAAAATGTATCTAGATTTTTCCCGTAGATGATGTTTACTTATAGGGATGTTCGGTTCTCGTTAAGAATCAGAACCGCGGTTTTGTAGACGGTTCCTTTTTTCTGGAACCGAGACTGTTTTAACCATAGGTAACTTACTACAGTTTTAGTTTGAGAAAGCTACATTTAGCGTTCATACCCACTGAAAAAAAATTTACGAATTCCTGCGTTGACATGCAGGAATCTTAAAAAATCTTGTGAATGTTGGATATATACTGCAAGTTTTTACATCACGTTAACTCGCCGAAAATTTTCCTGCAAGTTGGTGAGTATAATTGAGCAGGATTCTTTAACATGCTCACTTTTCAAGTTTCTTTTTTGCAGGATCCTAGAGGATTCTTCTCTAGGCACATCATGCAGAAACTTTTACTTGCGTTCATGCGATATATCTCGCAGATGCTTCACTTTGCATAGCCTGCGAAATTTTTTTCGAACTTGTCTGTATTTTTTATTTTTGGCAAGTTAAGTACTTCTGCATCTTTTCTTGTAAAGTCATACAAGCTTTTCTCGTGTTGAATAAACTTCTGGAAACGTATACCTTAGTATTTTTAAGTATTCAAAGGGATTACTCTCATTTCGTCCCATACTTGTTTCGTTCCGTTTATTTTCTAGCATTCTAGTCATTTTATAACTATTCATTTTTTTTTCTATCAACTAATCAAGATTAGTATAATTCATTAAGATAATGTAAGAAATTGATAGATGGCTTTATAAGTTACATTTATTATTTTATTTACGAGTTACCACGAAACAGGTAATTTTAAAGTATTAACACATTTGCCACATTTAATTGCAAGTTCAGTTCCCGACAAAGTACCATTTTCATATCGTGTAAAATACTCCTTCACTTTATTATCACAATTGTTGTAAACTTTCAGCCTCTCGTTTCATCAGATCCTTGCCATTGTTTCATTCATGAGTATTGTTTCTTTGCACAAGCTTTATTTATCCAGGTTTAGAAAAACGAACTAGTCCATATTGATACGTATCAACGTATGAATATATCAGCCATGTATCAGTTTCTTACGTTATCTTAATGACTTATATTAATATTAATTAATACACAGTTGATAGAAAAAAATGAATAGGATGCTAGAAAATAAACGGGACGAAACGAGAAGATACCATTTAAAGCTGAAGAAATTTAGAATAGTGTGATATCTCTGCTTTGCTATACATCTTCTTTTCACAGTAGCGTGATCATTCTAATGACTTTAACGTCTTATTGATGGAAAAAAATAGAATATTCCTGACATAAAAATGATCTTTTCAACTATCTATTAATAGTTTGGTTTTGTACACATGAAAATGCGTGTTAAAGTCAAAATATTAAGGTATACGTTTTCTAGAAGTTTATTGAATACGAGAAAATTTTTTATAACGTTATAAGAAAAAAGTACTTATCTTTCCAAAAAAATAAAATACAGACAACTTTCTCCACGGTCATCCTGGCAGACATTGGTGAGGAAAGATTACTGGATACCGCAGAATAGNAAAATTCTGCCAGATCTCGTAGGAAAAACTTGTGGATTGAATAAGTCAAAAAGTCTTGCGATGTTTCTTACCTTTACGCAGGATTTTTTCCATGCTGACCCTACATAAACTATACAGGGTTCTGTCAGGGCTGGCAGTATAAAAATCCTGCGTAAAGGTAGGAAACATCGCCAGATATTTTAATACTGATAACCTGCGAGATCTTGCGCAAAGTCCTTCGGGATCCTGCATGAATTTTGATTATTTTTTTCAGTGGGTAACGTATACTTGTGCGCAACTTCTTTTACATGAGATCTTCTATACCTGGCGAACCCATCGACTCTTATTAGATAAAAGATAAAGCCAGTATTATTATGTCTTTATACTGGCCGTAACTTCTGGTCTTGAAACTGTTAAGATCAGACGATAGAAAAGTACAGCATTGAACGAAAAAGAATGAGTGTGAACCGACGATCAAATTTCTATTTCTTTATGAAGTGCAAAAACAAAACAGTAATTAATTCTTTTCTCTTCTGCCTTGCCTTCCTTTTAACAAAATGAAAACGCACTATTGATAAAGCTGCCAAAAGATATATTTGCCTGCCATTATTTAAAAGAATCTTTTGGTTTACAATAAAATGAATTTTATTTTGTTGAATTGTTACTACCTAAAAGATTCTTCTCCGGTTCTAAGCTGAGAACGCGGTTCTCTTCTATGTCGGGAATCGGAACCGCGGTTCTTCTTATTTCGGTTTTAAGTCGAGAACCGGAACCGTGGTTCTTTTGGATTCGGTTCTAGCTCTCGAGAACTGGAACCGTCATTGCGGTTCTTAGTTCCGCGAATCGAGCATCCCTATTTGCTTGGGATACGCGAGATATAAACAACATACAAAGGATTGTAAACTCAATACTATTCAATGTACTGTATGTAATAAATCGATTATTCCACGTTGGTATCATGCAAAAATGTATGAAGAATGAAACTGTCAACTAATAACGAATAAAGTAGTTTCTGTTTCTTTGTTCTTAAGTTAACAAGATATTTTTACAACTAAAGGTATTAATTTAGTTTTATTCTTCATTTATAATAGTATTTAATTTTACATCTATAATCACCTTACTTATAAGTAAAGTAATTAGAGCTGTAAAATTAGGTGAATGTCACTATGTTTCAAAAGGTTATGCTTGTATTAATTTATCAAAAACACGTATACTTTTCTTTTACAGTTTATTCTACTCTAATCCTCTTACCTATACGAGAACTTTTTCTGTTTCTGTTTAAAGAATAAAATAAGAAACGAACAAATATTATATTTTCATCAAATGTTCATCCGTTATATATTCAAGGAAGAGAATGCTCACTCTAAACTTATTTCCTATTGTGCCAACTTCGCGAATTCAAACTACATTAATTATAGAAGATCCATTTTCAGTTTTTGTGCGAAGTTGGTACAGTGCGCAATAAGTTTTAGAGTGCCATTACTGTCTTCCTTTAATATAATAGATAGTCGATGATGTTGATCTGCCAATCCATGTTTTATCTGGCAGTTTTCGATACCGCCCTCTGTTAAATTCTCTACATATGTTTGCCCTGAGACGCTCTTTAATAGAATTTTATATCAGTTTCATGCTTCTAGTTAAAATAGTTTCCTCTAAAATGCAGTTAAATTTTTTTATCTGTCGCCTAGGTCAAGAACTCACCATGAGAGAGAAATATCGGCCTATAAAAGAACGAAACTGCTTGCCGTGACGCCATAGATATGTACGTTTCTACTGTGCGTTTCTACTCAGCCATCCTTCCGCCATTTTCGCCGAAACGTAACCTGAAGAAATCTCCGAAACGGGCGTTTGGCTAACTACTACACTACATTTCTCTTCTCATGAGTTGTTTATGATATAAATAGGAGCTTTTAAATATGCGTTAAATATGTTAAGGATCCAACTCTTGTTCAAGGAGAGCGTTTTTCGGCAATCTCACAGGTTAGTCTAGAAATAGACAGTAAATGAGAGAAGGAAGCGAGAAAAAAGGTCAACATTAGTGACTAAGATGAATATTTCATGTAAAACTATTTTTCGTTTCTTTACCTTTATCTTTTAAATATGAATGTTCATTTATATTGATCCACTATTATAAATGAAGAATAAAACTAAATTGACATTCCAAGTTGTAAAACATTTTTAACTCAAGAACAAAGTAAAAGAAAATAGTTTTTCTTAGTTATCACTTTACAATTTCCATTTCTTGACATCTTTTTGTGTGACTCTAATTTAATAAAGAAATTGTGTCGTCTCTTAGAACCTAGAGATGTTCTTCACAGTAGTCATCTATGGTTTCATTTCTCTATGACTTTCTTAATTAAAAATTAGAGAGAGAGAGAGATAAGGATAGAACAGAAAGAAGCAATTAGCGTGCCTTTCCTATCTTTCTGGAAACAATTGGTTTAAGGGTACCTACTTCTAGCTTCTAGCGATCATGCGAGATGGAATTACCCTACAGATCGGGTTCTGTAGTGAAAACAAAAATCGAATGTTTTAAACTTTAAGATTTGTTTCAGAAATCCATTATTACCGAAACTGATAGTCTATCTCTAGTCAATAAACTAGGTTTGCCCAATCTCAGTGTCAGACGCCAGTACTTTCGACTCATATCATTTTACAAAATTTACAGCAACCTGGCTCTTCTCGAATCTCAGGATTATCTTGCTAAATTGACTTCTAAGTCTCTTCGAGTAGCGCATTCTTATACGGTCGACATACTCTTCACTCCTTTCGAAATTGTGTAGTCATCCTTCTTTTGGAGAACTGCAAAAGACTGGAATGCTAAAGATCTAGAAAAAGTCGTTTCTATCAGAA